TGGCGCCAGCCCGGTCCTGCCTGGACCCGGGAAGAAGCAAATCGCCCACCTCGTGCAGAGCATGTGCCAAGTGTGCCCACAAACAGGCTCTCAGGGCAGGTGCCCAGGGCCCACTTCCTGAGCCCCGAAATTGGGCCCCGGGTCCTCTGAGGCTGGGCTGGATGGACCAAGCCCGCCTGTGCTCAGGGCCCCCGCAGCCCGACTTCCAGGAGGGACAGCTAGGTGGGGGGAGCGGGGGAGAGAGGGGGCCAGGACGGTGGCCTCAGCCCAGCCCTGCCCACAGGGCCGACAGAGGTTCCTAGGAGCAGACCCGCCCAGGTCCCTACCCGAGTCCCTGTGAGGCGAGAGCACCCTCCCTGCCTCTGCGCAGATCGGGAAGAGAGGTTCAGACAGGCTGGCTACTGGCCAGGATCACCCTGTGCCTGCCTGGTGGCCTCTGGCACCAGCAGCATCGCAGCAGCCCGGGGCTGGCGGGGGTGGCGGGAGGAACAGGGCGGGAGGGGATTGTGCCCCGCCCCTGGCCCCCCCCAGGTCCTGGGAGGGGTGGGGGGGGTCTCAGGCCTCCCACCTAAAGATGTAGGCACCACTTGCCAGGGGCAGGAGCACCTCTCCCGGGGAGCACCCAGGGGCTGCCCAGCCCACCCCACCGCTCCAAACGCACCCGTGTGCCAGTGCGCACACGCACGTTTGTCACACACTCATCCATTCGCTCATCCGTTCACTCGACTCAGGCTTCCTGGGCACCTGCATTCACAAGGCGCCGGTGACGATGGACATGGGTCCCCGTGAAACAAGATGGAGAGGTCAGGGCGGTCCTGGAGCGGAAAGAGGGACGCTGGGTCCACCTGGAGCCTCATCTGGGCCTTCATGGAAGGCTTCCTGGAGGTGGTGTCCAGGTGCAGTCTTGGAAAAGCCAACCAGCCAGAACGGGTGGCAGGGGCGCTGGGGGAGGGGCTGGAGGGCCCAGAATCAGAGGCAGCTGTCCCTTCAGCCATCAGTGGGGTGAGACAGTGGGCTGCAGCCCGGGAGACCAGCGTACCTGGGGCTGGTGGGCACAGGCGGGGTGCCGGGCGGGCAGAGGACTCGGAGAGGGGCCGCAGATACCCCCCAAGGGCCTCGGCTCTGGCCACCACTGGGTGGGCTTGGGGAGTGAGGAGCAGAGGAGGGGCAGGTTTGGGGAGCTGAGTTTGGGGTGCCAGGGCCAGGGTGGGAAGGTGGGGTCAGGAGTGGCTCAGGAACTGGGGGTCCCTGGCATGGCGCAGACAAAAGCCTCGGAGGGGGCGGGGAGGGGCCGATGAGGTGAGAGGGCGGGTGAGGGGAGCAGCCCGGGGAGGGAGGGCCCAAGAGGGGTCCCATGGCCCAGAGGGAAGCCAGGCCGGCCTGAGCTTGGCGGGGCGAGGGGTGGGCCTCCTGCTGTCGTGGGCTGGGCAGGGGCACAGGACCCGGCCCCCACCGCCTGGCTGCTCTCACCACCGCAGCCTCCATCCCGCAGGGTGAGGACTTCAGCCCCAGGCCTCCCACCCAGCCGGTCTCCCCTGGGCAGCATGATGGGGGCGTCCCCCGGGAGGGGTGCCCACAGCCTTGCCTGGCTCACAGGTGCAGTTCCGTGGGGAGGAGCCGTAAGGGCAGGGTGGGGAGCCCCTCCCCGCCGCCAGGCCAGGCTGCATCCTTGTGCCCCCCCACAGGCACCCCAGCACTGGGAGACCCCCCTCTAGGCGTCCTCAGCGGCCCTCACCCCAGCCCTCGGGCAGCTGGGAGGGAGCAGCCACCCCGCCCAGACCCAGCTCCTCCGCAGGGTGAGGAAGAGACCTGAGGTCCCTGGGCCACCAGGCCGGGAGCAGCCCTGCGTCTCCAGGCCCCTGGCCTCACCC